AATCGCTAACTCGAGTTAAGGTTCGTCGTGTAGACGAGGCTTAGATTAGGTCAGTGTAGACGTGCGTGGACAATCAACGTACGTAGACGTGGTCAGCGTATTTATGAACAATGTAGATGTGATCAATGTAGAGTAGTTGTAGCGTACAACTATCTGTAGACGTAGTTGGCGTAGTTCTGGCCAGGCTGCGTAATTCGAATAGATAGGATTTCCAGTATGTCGTAAACTACGATTGTGCACCTCTACCAATGAGTTCAGAGTCACCTCGGGATAGTTTCTTGCCGTGCTTATAGGAAAAGTTCAACGGGTTATCAGTGCTGCATAGTAGATTTCATCCAGGTCCGTGGCCTTTGGTCTATATGCTAATGAGTAGTAAGTAGGTAGTAGTATAGTATTATATATTATGTATTATAGTATGAGCAGTATTTAGTAATGACCGCAAAATGCTAACGATTACTGCACTTGGCAGGCCACATGGCATACCTAGGCCTCATCCACGTCGAGTACTGCCTCAGCCATCCAGTAGTCCTGGTGTTCTGCCAGAATCTGCTAACGTACGTGAGAAGCAGCGCCGACGACGAGCCATCGATCAACGGCCGTATGTATTGTATGCTTATGTATAAGCAAGAGCATATATGAAGTGTTATACTTTGTGTTCTTACTATTATCGCAACAGCATCGCGATATCGCAGCGGACAACGGACAAGCAGACACGGATATGTCTGGCCGTCGTACTCAGAAATAATAAGTTTTGAATAATATTATGGGCCTTTTGCCCAATCAGAGATCGTGTTACACATAATTTAACCGCAGATAAATTATTATTACCGCGGCAGAAATAATTAAAAATTATGGTTAAATTATGGCCCTTTACCCAATCAGAGGCCTTATTACACATAATTTACCCTCGGTTGAATTATTTTTATTGTAAACATCGAGCAGCGTTCGCAGCTGACGGGGTGGTTCGGGGGCGTATGTTTCAGGGCAGAGCGAAGCCATGGAGGGGCGTAAGCGGGCGATGAAGCGCTGGCAGGTCGCCTACACGCTCGTGCGCAACCCGCAGCTGCAGGACCGCGAACAGCGCATCGTCAGCGGCCTCACGCGCCACGTCGACACCTGGCGGCATTACGCGCAGGGCATGCCCGCGCTCGCCCCGCTGCCGGCTGCGTCCGCCGCCGCCGCCGCCGCCGAGCCATCCACTCCCGACGCCGTCACCGTCGACGCACCTTCCTCTTTCCCGATTCGCAACGGTCCGCACGAGGGCGCCACCGCTGGCGACGCTGCGCCGACGAACGTCGCCAATGTGATGCTGATCGACCCGGACTCGAGCGCCATCGGAGAGGGGGAGGAGTTCCACGAGCTAGATCTGGAGCTGGGCGGCGTTAAGCTGCAATTAGGCGCCTCTGCCTGCTAGATAATAACAATAATAATAATAATAGGGGATCTGCCTGCTAGATAGAACAGCCGCGTGCGCGTGCCGTGAGTTTGCTAGCAGCATCCACCGTCGCCGCTGCGTCGCCGCTGCGTCGCCACCGCGTCGCCACCGCGTCGCCGCTGCGTCGCCACCGCGTCGCCAAGATCGTCAATATAGCGTGGAGCTTTTCTGAGTCGAACAGGTTGTAGAAAACGGACGATGCACAGTAAACATAACATACTAGCGGAATCGTGTGAGCAACATCGAGCGAACGTAACACACTGCTAACGTTCTACACGTTTGTGAGTAGCAGCAGAACCGCGCTAGCAGAGTTAATTACTTCTCTTTCTCTCAAGTTGGTAACCTGGCACATTGGCTGATGATTCGTGGACGTTAGTGTGCATGATATCACCAGGAGTGAATAATAATCGATTATTATTATTCACTCCTGGTGATATCATGCGACATCGTAGAGCTTTATTATGCATTACAAAGTAAGGCGTACCGTTTAGTAACTCGTAACGTTTAAATATATGAAAATCATCATTTAGATGCATCCGCGCGTGTAAGCCGTTATTTATAATAAACACTGCAAGCGTAGTTTATGTCATGATGTATTATGTTCCTGTTCTGTTAACAAACTAGATCCAATGAATAATGAATCTGGTGATTACTAACATGATAAATCTGAGAGCTCTAACAAAAATATCAAAATCTGAACAAAGTCCGTAAATTCTACTTCTCGTAATCTTTATTATAAAAGTACATTTTGTACCACTAGTACATATGGTAACAGGATGCTACACGACTATTGCGAGATAAAAATCATCAGGAAATTTTTTATGAACTATGTGATTATATTGTAAAATGATTTGGTACACGACTATCTAATGGTACGTCAATGTTTTCCAATAACTTCATAATCAAATCAAAACTACCCCCCCCATAAAACGTGATCAGGCGATAATTTCTGATGCATGCCATTACAGTATACAATTCCATCTTTTAAACATATGACCAACTACGTTTGAAAACTTTAATTACGAAACACGTTTTACTACGACACATTCTAGTACTGTTGTATACGTAATTACGACTTCATCAGAAATATACAGAGCAGTGACCACTGCGCAAAATCCCACCATGATCAGAATGTCAAGTCTCGGCTCTATTCTAGCTACTCTCCTATCACACACACACACAAAGGCACGCACGCACGCGCGCACACACACACACACACACACACACAAGGATAGAAAAGCAGAGTCATCTATAACGGTATCACAGCACGGAAACAGAATAACAGTCGCGCGAGAGAAAAAAGTAGAAGAATTATTACAAACGTAAAAGAAATAGACTCGCAATATCTCTCAACATTCAATGTTCAACGGGCACGACATTTGATCTACGCCACTGGCGCGGTGTTCGCCTAGATAAGAGTTGCTCGCGCACCTCTGGCCGTATAAAACATTTAATGATACTTGCAAAATCACTGACCCTGACCGCGGAGAGACCAGTATCGAAGCCAACATTGCCTCAGCACGGCGTAACAAGCTCAAGCAGACAGAATTAATGTGTCCCTGTTCGCAGGATGAATTGATCACTATTCCCAGTTACGCCGAAATGCCTCCCGAAGTTCATCACCGAAAAACATCGCGTCCATAAATATTCAGAAAAATACATGCAGTATTAAACTCTGTTAAACGGCAGTTAAAGCTTAGTTTTGCTTGACACGTTAGAAAAACACTTTTTGGAATGCATAACAGTCGGTCAGAAAAACTTCATAAAAATTTATTTTATGAAAATAGACAGATATTTGGAATGTGTAAAACGAGCACCTAATAAGTTGGTAAATATAGATAGCACTATATTTGGATACTAAATCATAGGAACAATAATTCCTTGGAATGCTTCGCGTCATGATATAACGCCTTCGCAAATTCGCTCATAATGACATAATATACAAAACTACGCACAATGCAATCAGCTTTCATTAAACACGAGATGAACGAAATCAAAAATAAACGGCCGGCTTCTGACTATTTGTGGCGAGTTTCAATCGACTTTCCATAAAACTTCTGATTAAGAAGGAAAATCAGAAGGTTGACATTGACCTTGGCTCTCCTATCGAACATATTCATGACGGCAACACCTTCATACTGCAACTGCAATAAGTCCTGCAAGAGAAAAACGTGCAATCAGTTAACCTCATAACATTTTTTCTCTCCTCCCTCGGCATGACCTCCTCTCTGCCCCATATAACCTCCTTTCTCTTCTTTCTTTACTTTCCTCTTTTTCTCCCTCATAACCTCCTTCTCTCCTATATATATATATAACCTCTTTTCTCCCGTTCCTCCTTGTAACCTCTTTTATCTTCTGCCTCTGGAAAACCTCCTTTCTCACCCCCCCCCTCCTTTATCTTCTCCCTCCGCGTAAACTCGTTTCGACTAGGCAATTTTGCCGTTCTCTCTGCCAGCGTGTGCTTACCTGGAACACCAGCTCTACCCTCTCCTGGATGTCAACGCCGAGAAACTTTGCCGTCACCTCGAACACGCCTGGCTTCTCCGTCGACGATATACCAAACTGCACGTTCTTGAACCTATCAGGGTAATTGGAATTCGTCAGCACAGCATATATTCACATATAATATTTATTTATCATCCTTTCTCTTCTCTCTTTGCACAACATCTTTATCTCCCTCATAACCTCCTTTCTTCCCTTCCTCTGCGGAACCTCTTTTATCCTCACCTCCAGGAAAACCTCCTTTCTCTCCTACCACTGTATAACCTCTCCCCTCCCCCACCACCTGATATAATATATATATATATATATATATATATGCACAAAGTACATTAGCAGGTCATTTCGGACAGCAACTGTGCTGACCCGACCCGACAAACAATTGGAGTAAATAGTGTCTGCGTGAATAGACTGTCCAGTGTACTGGGGATGAGAGAGAAACTATAGGCATTATTGTTTGTTGTAATTCACGTGATGGTGAAAACAGGGGCTGCAGATGACTCATGTATCGTTGGCATCATGTATCTTGCTCAGCCAGTGTTTTTACTGCTGTTTTCGTATAAAGTTTTAGAAATGAAGATGTGGACGACTCTCTGTACAGGAACAATTCTAGGATGTCGGCCAAAAATACCGAGAACACTTTTCAATATAAGCATCACACTTACCGAAAGCAACTACTTCTCGTAAATTATCAGCAAAATTCAAGTCATCGGTAATTAGGTATGCCCCCCCCCTCCCGGCACTATCCCGAGCCTCACTTGTTCGCAGGTTCCCCATCTTCATTTCATTCTTTATAAGCATCACACTTACTGAAAACAACTACTTCTCGTAAATTATCAGCGAAATTCAAGTCATCGGTAATTAGGTATGCCCCCCCCTCCCCCCGGCACTATCCCGAGCCTCACTTGTTCGCAGGTTCGCCATCGATCTCCAGCAGCACTCCCTTCTCGTACAGCCTCGGCGCCGTGTACTTGGCCGTGCTGGGCTTCTTGTGCGCAGACGTCTCATCCTTGCTGCCTCCGAAGAAGCTGCGCCGCTGTGCCTTCCTGCAACGATCATCAATGCCTGCCGTTGAACGCGGGAGCGGCTAGGATGCGGCGCGGCGACTAGGATGCAGTGCAGCAACTAGGATGCAGTGCAGCGGCTAGGATGCGGTGCAGCAACTAGGAAGCAGTGCAGCAGCTAGGATGCGGTGCAGCAACTAGGATGCAGTGCAGCAGCTAGGATGCGGTGCAGCAACTGCTCTATTCTGAGATTCATTACTGATGAGTCTATGTTTTAAGTCTGGAATAACTCGTTTCTATTCTCACTTAACGCACTTTAATGGGCACGACAGTAACCCCCAAAATGATATGTACAGAGAATAATCTCAGTAATGCTAGTACAGGACTACTCTGACTACCACTGCAACCAAGCTAACAGCAGTGGTATTACAGGGTTACCCTCACGACTGGGGCGATGTCTATGATGGATATCACCGCACACACCCTCACTAGGCAGGGCGATGTCTATTGATTGGTACAGCCACACCACCCCACTAGTCAGGGCGATGTCTATGATGGCTCACAGCCCACACCACCCTCACTAGCAGGGTGATGTCTATGATGGTACAGCACACCACCCTCACTAGCAGGGCGATGTCTATGATGGTACAGCACACCACCCTCACTAGCAGGGTGATGTCTATGATGGTACAGCACACCACCCTCGCTAGCAGGGCGATGTCTATGATGCGTACAGGCACACCACCCTCACTTAGCAGGGTGATGTCTATGATGGTACAGCCACACCACCCTCACTAGCAGGGCGATTGTCTATGATGGTACAGCACACCACCCTCACTAGCAGGGTGATGACAGCCTCTGACAGCCTCACCTGCCGCCTCCACGCTGCTGCAGGTCGTCCAGGCACGACTTCACGTACTGGTTGTAGTAATCGATCTGCTTCTCGTTGTGCTGGGCCTTCGACTCGAGCGACGACAGCGTCTGCCGCATCTTCGCCATCTCCTGCTTCCGCCGCTGCCGGTATCGCCGCCAGTTGCGGATGTCCTGCGCGAATCATCGAGACTCTTAACGTGAGGAAGGGAAACAAGCGATATGCCGGCCATGATAGCGCGCTATACGCCGACACGCGTGCAAATACACACCCGCCACACACCAACACAGATAGCTACACACTAGCACACATGCAGCATACGTGGAGATGCACCTGCTACACGCTAGCACACATGCAGCATACGTGGAGATGCACCTGCTACACGCTAGCACACATGCAGCATACGTGGAGATGCCACCTGCTACACACTAGCACACATGCAGCATACATGGAGATGCACCTGCTACACACTAGCACACATGCAGCACACGTGGAGATGCCACCTGCTACACGCTAGCACACATGCAGCACACGTGCAGCAAGCAGCATACGTGCAAATGCCTCAGTCTCTAGCACACGCCTCACTTTGATCTCGCAGTTTTAAGCGCCAGTCACACACAGACAGAACAACTTACGCTTGCTCATTACCAGTGCAATATTGTGGCTGTACTCCTGCTAGCAAACGAGAACGCACCTGTGCAATATCGTTGATGACCGACTGGTAGCCATTCTCACGCGACACCAGTCCTGCCTCCTCGAGTTTTGCAAGATTTGCCCTAATCCTGTCCTTCTTCCTGTCTAGGGGAAGCCTATAACAGCAATCATGAAACACGTGAGAACTGGCTACCTACGCTCAAGCATCTGCTTCTGCTGGTAAACACACAAAAAGTATCAACTGTGTGTTTTTCCTGTCTTAGAAAACGATTTCCAGCAGACGGACGAAATCTGCCTTTCACAATCATTATGACACTATTGCCCGTCAAATTGTTCGTACCTATTCTCACGCAGCATGGACTGCTGCCTAGACACCTTGTTGCCGCGACCCTGGTTCTTCACATCCTGGATATCTCTCAGCTTGATCACAGACTCGTGGTCCTCCTCCTGTAAAGCAGATGCGGTTAGAGGACTTCAAGAGATAAGGCAATGACAATTCTAATAGGATACGCGACACTTCAACACACTCAACCCCCTCCTCCCGCGTCTCTGTAACCTGCGACTGTGTGCCTCTGCTGTAACATCTGTTTTGCACGTGTCACATGAATTAGTCAGCGAGGCTAGACTAGGGGTTGTTGTTGTAATAGTCTGGGTAGACGGAGCGTCGTGCATATTGTTGCAGCTACATTGATGTATTAGGGAGAATTGTAAACGTGTTTAGGTTAGGCAGTTTCTACGGTCATTGTGAAATGGGGGTAGGACGCGGTCTGGGAGAACGGGTACATGTGCGTGCAGGATGTTTGTAGGAGTTTTGGGGGGAATATATAAAACAGAGATGTAAGAGTCGAGATTCTGGTTCTGGTCGCAAGAGAAAGCGCACGCGCGTGCCACGCGCGTGTGCGTGGTTTTGTGGCTCTTTGTGCGATGTGTCTACACTGTACTATGAGTTATTAAAGATTATTCCGGTTACAACACAAGTTTGGCTTTATATCATCATTCCTGTTTACACTGCCACCTCCCCACGTCTCGGCGCCCGCTCACCCGTGACTCCGTGTCTCAATGCCAATCCCCCGCGTCTCAACCACCAACTACGCCTCTTGGGGCCTCGCTCATCTGTGACTCAGTGTCTCACCCCCGCGCATCTCAACGTCTCGCTCACCTGTGACTCAGTGTCTCACCCCTCCCCCCGCGCGTCTCAATGCCTCGCTCACCTGTGACTCAGTGTCTCACCCCTCACCCCGCATCTCGTGTCTCAACGCCTCGCTCACCTGTGACTCAGTGTCTCACCCTCCCCACGCATCTTGTGTCTCAACGCCTCGCTCACCTGTGACTCAGTGTCTCACTCCTACCCACGCATCTTGTGTCTCAACGCCTCGCTCACCTGTGACTCAGTGTCTCACCCCTACCCCCGCATCTCGTGTCTCAACGCCTCGCTCACCTGTGACTCGGTGTCTCACCCCTCCCCCCGCGCATCTCAACGCCTCGCTCACCTGTGACTCGGTGTCTCACCCCTCCCCCCGCACATCTCAACGCCTCGCTCACCTGTGAGTCGGTGGCGCCGGTGTCTAGCACGGCTGCGAGGCTCTCTCCCTGCTGTGAGCGGATCACGTCAGCGATCATGCGCTTCGTGCGCAGGTAGAGCGCGCGCGTGTCTCACCCCTCCCCCCGTGCGTCTCAATGCCTCGCTCACCTGTGAGTCGGTGGCGCCGGTGTCTAGCACGGCTGCGAGGCTCTCTCCCTGCTGTGAGCGGATCACGTCGGCGATCATGCGCTTCGTGCGCAGGTAGAGCGCGCGCGTGTCCGCAACGTCCTCCTCCAGCAGCTCAAACTTGTTGCTGAGCGTCAGCAGGATCTCGGTGCTGGAGAGCTGCGCACGCGACAGCGCCTCCGCCTCGTTACCCTCCGTCTGACCTGCAACGCGAGGCGTGGCATTAATCGCACAGCTGGGGGAAGGGGAGGGAGGGAAGGGAGGGGCATGAAATTTATTGGACAGCTGGGGGAGGGGAGGGAGAGGGGCATGACATTTATTGGACAGTTGGGGGAGGGGAGGAAAAGGTGTGACTGTCATCAGACAGCTGGGAGAAGGGAGGGAGGGACGTGACATTTGTGACATTCGGTGGGAATCGCAGGGGTTGCGGAACGAGACTCACGCGCGATTGTGTTATTCACAGGGGTATTGACATTCACAGAGGGTTGTGAACTTCGGGTCGGGTGAGTTTCCCTGCCTTTTCCTCCACTCTCTCTCACACACACACACATGCTCTCTATATCCCCTTCCCCTTCCCTTCCGCTCTCGCTCCATGTAACTCCTCCATCCCACGACCTCAGCCATCACTACAGTGCAGTTACTCACACACGTGACTTCGTATAGCTAATACCTATCAGTGTGTCAAGGTCGGGTTCGCCAAGGTCAGCCAGCAGCTCGTGCAGTTGGTCGCTCTCGTCTGGTGCGACAACATCTTGATGTTCCATCAGCAACTGTAGGTATCAAGTGCAAAAGTTAGTCGATTGCCATGCTGCGGCAATAGTATTGTTATGTATTTGTATTGCGTTAGTTTGTATTTGTGTTTGTATAATCTGCATTGCAAAAGCGTTGTTATGTGTGTAGTTTGTTATTCAATCGATTGTCGGTGTCTTGGGAGGGGGTGGAGGGATCAAGACTGTGGAGCACTCACTGAGTCTGCAGGATGCAGAGCTAGCAGTATCTAGCAGTCTACGGTCTACTTGGCGAGTGTCACAACATGGAAAATATGGCTCTAGCTAATGATGTCGAGTTTGCCTTGAGCGCCATCTAGCGGCCCACCGAGTAAGTATCACGAGAAAAAAAATATACGGCTCTAGGCTAGCTGCCGAGATGGAGGCGCAGTGAGCGCCACCTAGTGGCTCACCTGGTGAGTATCGTGCATCTCCTGCAGAGAGATGTAGATGGTGGGTTTGGTGACCATGGTCAGCTCTACCCAGTGATCCATGTTGTAGTGCTGTTCTGGCTCCTCCACAACGCAGGCCTCGCGGAAGAACTTCCTGCAAACGCAACAAGCTCATCACAGCACGCGATGCAGGTGCGTGCAAGGCCAACATGCCGCTGCCGACTGCCTTATACGTTAGCACGGTGCTTCCCCGCTGTAACGGGCCTTTGATAAACGCGCACATCGCCTTAAACGACTGGTCTTTGAACAGCTATCCGTACGTACGTTTTTTTTAATTTGATAAAGGGGACAGGACTTCGGTAAAACGGAATATTTTCTGCAGAACAAACTTCCTTCTTTCTTAAGTCAACGTTGTAAAACGAACCTAAACTCAAAAGCTTTCGACTGTTCAGTGAAATCTGAACATAATGAGCTAAAAAAACATTTTTTTAGCTAAAATTATATGCCGTATTGATACGTGTATTGCACGCTGTATGTAATGTACAGTGAGTACTATGGCACTGCCCCTGACTAACAGTAAGGACGGCAAACCTAAACATACTTGAATTTCTCGTGGCACTCCTTGATGAAAGGGTTGAGACATGACAGATGGGCACTGTCACCACCAAACTGAAACGTAATCAACAGGACTTTAAGTTAGGACATGCAGGTACTGAGCAATGTGACATTGGTCATGATATCTCACGATAAAAGATAATGTGATAAGCACCTTTGCTACTTCTAAAGCGTAAAGTCCAATCTCACCGTAACCGAGATACCATGGTTACATCCCTCGGTAGGATATTACACTGAATACGTTGCAGTTATCTGGTTATAGTGCCGTAGTAGTCAACAATACGGCAAGAGCTGCTTTAGACAATGAAAGACATTCTGAATGGATGCTGGGTACAGATCAGAGCATCCAAACACTTGCCTGTCAGAAAGCATCGTGATCACGCCAACTCTACCGACACACACTGCTACTCACTCACCCCTTTGTTGGAGGCGGCAAACTGCAAGATTTTCGCGACAGACGCCAGGTTGCGCCGCTGGTCGTTGGTCAGCATCGAGCCGGGCCCGACGTCAATGATGTCGAACTGGTCCGGAGCAACGATGGCAGAGTTGATGTAGCGATAGTAGAGCAGGTTACCGATGATCTGCAATTTAATGCCACAGAGCAGCGAGCATTAAATTGATTAAAAACACTAAGATTTTATGCAGTTATAGAATAGAAAATTGGATATGAACACATCGTAACAGCAATAATGGCAGAATTGCCAAACTTGTAAATTGCCAGTGATTAATTGAAAACAAGTGCATTTGAGAGAGACTGTACTATGTCTATGTCAGATAGGCGGCGGGGCTTCTAGCTGATCCATACTACCGGCTCTAGTTTCAAGATTACAGCAAACGATTGTTTACCAAACTAGTAGTAGTAGTTCGAAAATTGCATGTTTTGGTGAATACAAAGTTTCTAAGACATTTTATTGTTACTCTAGACAATTGCTGTTACTCAAGCAATAACGGTAGGTATCATGAAAGTAGTGAAAACACTGGAAAACTCTCATACAAATTACTTTAAATTCCACTTACTCATAACTAACAAAATGTATTTTATTTTATTTTATTTTGGGGTTTTGCCGCGCAGAATACGGGCTAACCCGCACGCCGCTCAGGCACTAACCCGGGATGACGGTTCCAAGTGTTTTTTTACTGAAAACACAAGGCAAAAAACACTTTTCGGTCGTTAGGGTTAGGGAAATACCGCCACCGACGAGTTACGAGCATGAGAAATAACAAAAAACATCGAATATTTAACCACCGCACGCACGCACTATGTTTACATAATGGCGTCGCTCAACTTGGGGCCGTGACGTCACATGAACTAGATTACTATTCAGGTGTTTATTACTAATTGGGCGCTGGATTTGAAATGGAATACGTTATTGAATGTATTTCTATGCATAAAAACGTTACAGAAGCTAGAAAATTTGACTTCAATTGTCCTTTAAACCAACATAAACCTCCAAAGCCAGGGATGTTTATAAAAGTGGACTTTATCTCACACCAACGAAATGTTTACAATGAATGATATTCATTTACACATACAATACAGTTACATTTCATTAAAAAGGAACTTTTTTTTTTTTTGAATTTTTGGGGTTTTGCCGCGCAGCATACGGGCTAACCCGCACGCCGCTCAGGCACCAACCCACGGATGACGGTTCCAAGTGTTTTTATTTATACTGAAAACACAAGGCAAAAAAACAGTTTTCGGTTGTTAGGGTTAGGGAAATACCGCCACCGACGAGTTAGGCGTACCGAATGAATATCTACACAGAATGCAGGAAAACATTTATGGTGTGCAAATAGACTTTAATAATTGAATGACAACCTATGTCCCATACTCAAATTCAAATACATGAAAAACATCAAGGCAAAGTGTGGAGGGGTCTCACGAATTCATTTAGACGTTCAGTACATTGTTATTTGGACGTTTAGTAAATTAATTGCATGAATAATATGAAAATTTATCCAGCAGTAATTTTAATTATATTAGCGGGTCTGCATCAGACCTTGTTAAGCGAGCAAGACGTACCCAACTCCTCCTCGTAGTCAAGATCACTGTTATCCAGGAGATGTACAAACTTGCCCACCAAAATAACTAACTACTAATTAACAATTTCAACTAACACTCAGAAACAACCCAGTCAGTGTTCGATCAACACACAGTCACTACATAGTCAGTATTCAATCAACACTTAGTCACTACATTACTACATAATCAGTATTCAAGCAACACTCAGGCACTCTCCAGCCAGCCTTCAATTTCAACTAACACTCAGAAACAACTCATTCAGTGTTCGATCAACACTCACTCACTACTCAGTCAGTATTCAATCAACACTCAGTCACGAGTCACTCACTGTAGTGCAATATAGTAGTGCAATATAGTAGTGCAATATAGTAGTGCAGGCATACTACATGCAACTTCTAATTATTGTGTAAACTTCATAATGTCTTACCTTGAGGATCTCTTTCTCTGGGCTATCAGGGAACTTTTCTTGCAGCGCATCCTTCAATATCTTAGCAATATACCTCATCCCATAGCTGTAACAGAAGAATTGATATTAAAGGAAGGAGAATAACTTGGATGGATGGGTATAGTGATAAAAATGATACATGGTCACAGTAGTACAGGGGGCCGTTTCACGAAGCGCTCGTTAAGTTAGTGATGGGTTAAAGAGGGGCTTTAGAATATCCTTATATATAGTGTTTCACGAAAGCCTCGCTAAGTTTCCACGTTTCACAAACATCTCACTAACTCAACGACGTTGCTATTAAAGAGGAATCTTAAGGACAGGTCAGGGGCAGTACTTAGGCTATCGTACAGCAAGCAACGCGAGATTTCCCGCGTGTTTTCATTGTTTTGGCAAGCCGTAGAGTAAAGCGAAAACCCGCCGAGAAGGTAACTTCTCTGTGTCTACGAGAATACTGTGCAAGGCCTGTGAAGGCATGAGGCGCAGGGGTTAAGTGTGGCTAAGAAGTTTCTTATTGTGGTAGCAGATTTTGAAGAGATGAAATGCTTCCTTGCACCTTACATGTGCTTCGGCTGTTCGTGTATGTAATTACTGTATCCTATGGCGCCAATACTGTATCAAAGTAAACGTAAATCTAAACCTTCAGAATTTGTGTTACATTTTTGTTCAGTCAATACGTCATTTGTGGTAGTTCTAGTTGCAGGAAATATGACAACCTTGCTTTAGTTTAATTATTTCTCAGGTACTTGGCATTTAAAAATACTTTTAACCTATTATTTTTAGTGTGCACGCTGTTGTACCTACATTTAATAAAACTAAATGACGCGAGAGATTAGCGTAGCAACTCACAGCGAGCTGGGTCGCCATTAGACGTGTAACATGTCTCTATATATAGACTATCTAGTATTCTAGTAGCATGGTGTAGAGATAGGGTACCAGTCTATGCCGCCAGCAACATCGTTACAGCTAAATTTTAAAGACCGTCTAACAACGCGCCGGCATAAGTTTCGTGAAACACTTTAACGATGGACGTTTAGGACAGCGTTAGTATCTCGTACAAGAATTCTAGAGATATTACAATAGCTCTAATTAAAATTAAGTTATTTAGTTTTAATTGGGTGTTTTTACAATAGCTTCGTGAAACGGTCCCCAGGACTATTAGAAGGTGGAGATTGTATTCTACGTTCTATGCATGAAATAAGTTTTTTTTTATACAGACCTGCAGTTACTATAGTCATTTTAGACATTTTATTACTACATATACACTCTTTGTTAGCTAGGTATGGTCAGAAAGAATCACAGATTGAATACCTGCACACGCATGCACCTGTAACAAACTATGCATTCACGCATGTACACATGCATGCACTTATGCACGCAACCAAGTATATGTGTGCACACGCACGCACGCACGCACGCACGCACGCACGCACACACACACACACATGCGCACGCACACACGTGTGCACCGTAGTTACTCAACCACGCTCTCAACGAGACATTGCCAGTACTCACGGTATCTTGTCCATCGACTGCATGATAGCCTGTATGAAGGCCTTTGCGTTGTTCTTCAGGTTGCGGATGGCAACCTCGATCTGTTGGCGCACCTCTTCGTGCTCCAGAGCCTGCTCGATGGTGACGTCATACGGCAGACCACTGCGCATACAACACAGAACATGATGTTCGCACGCAGCCAGTACAACATGGACCGCTAGGCATGTGACGAGTGAGATAACACACGAAATAAAGTATACAATAACACACCGCTAGGCATGTAATGGGTGAGATAACACATGAAATGAAATATACAATAATGGGGTTTACATGGCATGACATGTGCAAAGAACGTACGGTTCGATACATACAATGCAAGATATCTAGATACACACGTAGGCATGGCCCACGTGTATACGTAAAAAATCGATTGTCAGCGCTTCCTCTGCATGTTGCAAAGTTTCAGCCAAGACTTGAGCCACCAGTTATTTTTTAGCCACAAATGAAAAACTATTTTATAGCCACAATTCAATTTATCATACGTGATAAGCAAGGAATAAACAGGTGAAGGGCATGGGAAAAAGAGATGTACGAAACCATTTTACGACACGACAATGCAATTTGACGATTTCATTATTCAATTGTAATTTTGTGATCTAAATCATTTGCCAATTGTACCCGCCACTTAGTGTAGTAAAAATTAATTGCCACTGTTATTTATTTATCACATTTTTCAAGGTGGGGAAAGCCAGCAGCAATAATAGGTAACTAATACTGTACCTAGCCTGGCCAGTCTTCGACTCCAGATTGTTAACCCACTGCTTGTACACGTCTATTGGGTTTGTGTTGATGTTAAGAGTCTTGTCGTTGATGACTTTTGTAACCAGTGGGTTGAGTGGCTCTCTAAGAGAGCTCAGTCCTCTGGCCTTCCTGTGAAATCAACAACTGTTACTTTCTCCGGTTTCTATGCAATTAACAGCAATCGTAACATGTTCAAGTTGATTTGTAATTAGCAGGTCATGTGCATTACTTTACTATGTAACGGCAATCAACAACAACTTTACACTTTCCTTGTGTATGTGACACCCTGTGCCTACACGTGCCCTATAACAACTAATACACTCACCTGTTGAAGCCCAGTACCATCTGTATAACCATAGGGTTACCCGTCACAATCTCACCGGGCGTGCTCACCCTGGCTCTATAAAGACAATTATTATTAAAAAAAAAAATATTATTAAAGATAATTATGAGGACAATTAGACATACATTCTAAAGACAATTATTATTAAAAAAAAAAATATTATTAAAGATAATTATGAGGACAATTAGACATACATTCGTTGCACACGTGGTAAAAACACGTAATTAAAGTTAGTCTTCTCAGGTGATTGTTTTATGCTACAGCACCATAATGACGTTAAACAAGGCGTCTTCATTATTACATCTATTATGACATTATCTACATTGTCTGACATTATCTACATTGTCTGACATTATCTACATCTATTATTACATCTATTACATCAATTCATTATTACATCTATTAGAGATGTGCAGAGTGGGCCTCCTTCCCCAGGGCTACATATTACATGACAGTATAATGAGATCAAACACTTCATAGTTGTGAAGTAAAGATGTGTCGAAAACGTATTCTCCTTTAGAGTTATTAAACAGTATGATTGAGTCAAACAATTTTTGTCATCGCCTAGCAAAGATGTGCGAGTCCATGGTTGTGTAATCAAAATTGTTTTTGTTCTTGGAGAAGGAGGTGGAGAGAGAAAGAGAAAACAGATAGGGAGGGAGGGAGGGAGGGAGGGAGGGAGGGAGGGAGAGAGAGAGAGAGAGAGAGAGAGAGAGAGAGAGAGAGAGAGAGAGGAGAGAGAGAAAGCGCGGAGCGAGAAGAGAGAAGAAAGAGAGAGCGAGCCGAGAAGAGAGAAGAGAAGAGAGAGACAGAGCGCAAGAAGAGAGAAGAGAGAGAGAGAGAGAGAGAGGGCACGAGAAAAAAGAGAGAGAGAGTGCGCCAAGAAGAGAGAAGAGAGAGAGAATGAGAGTGCGGATGAAGCAGCAGTCAGCCTGATCTTCTTCTTCCAGTGCTGTCTTGAACAGCTTGTTGAGCAGGAACTCCTCACGCTGGTTGCCTGCGTAGTTGTACAGTGTCAGGATCACAGACTCCATGAACTTTGTCGTGCGACTCTGCGGCATGGCGAAGATGAGCCTGGCCAGGTAGTGAGGGTTCGTCTGCAGCTGGTAGAACAGGTGCTGATACCTGCACACAAACACAACAAGTGCTTGTCGCTCGCTGCATGTAGTGGCGAAATTAACGAGGGGAAGGGGTGAAGCGAAGACATTTAAAACGAGATAGAGATAATTGACTGGAATAGCCTCTGCATACGTGTAGTGACGAAATCAATGGGGGAAGGGTGAAGTGAAATGTTTTAAAACGAGCTAGAGATATTGCACTGGAATAGCCTCTACGTACACTCGCAGAGTATGTGGCTTTGGTGGCATTTATGTGATGAAGCCAATAACGATGATGCGGAAGAAATGATGCTGGTTGATCTAAAGTTGGGGAGCCCTCAGAAGGCTTGCAGGAGATGGAGGAGAAGAATGGCAAAGTTTCGTTGGTTTCCAAAGCGACACCATGGCATAAGAAGCAGAACAAACAAAGCATTAAATTCAGTAAAAACTGTAAATTCGGACATACGCTTCTAGCAGTTCTCTGCTTTCTTTGCTGAGGCTCTTCACACCCTTTCCTCCGCTGGTGTAGGCATCACCTAGCTTCCGTATCTCGTTGTGATGCTTCAATTTCCGTCCATGAGCAACGACGTCCTTCAAACACCCCGGGCAGAGATGCTTTGTTAGTTTGTGCGTTACATCTTAGCTGAACTCACAACTGTCACACTCAACACACTCAACCCGCAGAAGGTTGACCACAACATTCAAGAGAACAAAAAAACATAGAATGGTAGCAACAACATTGCCATTTGAGAGAATAGACCTGGTAAAAACTACATATACTGTCTATCTTGACGGGCATTTTTTTTATATCTAAATGGTCCGAGGACATTGAAACAATTTTTTGACATTGACTCGCTGATGAATGTTGTCAGTTTCATGATTCTGGCTATGAGGCTTTGCTTGCATGTACACACACCTGTAGTGTGAGTCTGTTTCTTACTAACAGCCCAATCTTGATGTCCATCATGTTCAAGTCTTGCTCCAGCTTCTGGTTCGATCGAATGACAGCCACGACTTTCTCCTTCATTCTCTGCAACTCTGTTGGTAAATGAGGATGCAAACATTATGACCCATGGCCTGTCAAAATTCAGTGTGTCACCAAGCCTGATAGCACGTTCATCGGTGTCTGTGCACCCAAATCAAACATAAAATAGAACCTTTTTAGCAAAAATTAGTTGAAATCATGTATGATAATAACCAACATAAACCTCCAAAGCCAGGGACGTTTATAAAAGTGGACTTTATCTCACACCAACAAAATGTTTACAATGAATGATATTCATTTACACATACAATACAGATATAGTTTATTAAAAATGAATTTTTTTATTTTATTTTTGGGGTTTGGCCGCGCAGCATACGGGCTAACCCGCACGCCGCTCAGGCACCAACCCGCGGATGACGGTTCCAAGTGTTTTTATTTATACTGAAAACACAAGGCAAAAAAACAGTTTCTAGTTGTTAGGGTTAGGGTAATACCGCCTCCGACGAGTTATGCGCACCGAATGAATAACTACACAGAATGCAAGAAAACATTTATGGTGTCCAAATAGACTTTAATAATTGAATGACAACCTATGTCCCATACTGAAATTCAAATACATGAAAAACATCAAGGCAAAGTGTGGAGGGGTCTCACGAATTCATTGAGACGTTCAGTACATTGTTATTTGGACGTTTAGTAAATTAATTGCATGAATAATATGAAAATTTATCCAGCAGTAATTTTAATTATATTAGCGGGTCTGCATCAGATCTTGCTAAGTGAGCAAGACGTACCCAACTCCTCCTCGTAGTCAAGATCGCTGTTATCCAGGAGATGTACAAACTTGCGCACCACGTTCAACGGAGGATTCTCACTACGAGCTGTAACACATTAACAGTGGCTGCACATAGCGCCCCCTGTAGCCGCAAATGGGAAGGAATCATGCCTTCAAAGGCGGCCCAAAGTCCACCGCCCAAGAGACAGCAACTCTGCATACTCCGAGACGTCCATATTAACACCTGCTAATTTTCCACGTTAGTATATCTTTCAGGTACCGAGAATTTTACTCAATATATAAAAATCTTCGACATACGTACATACTGAAATACTTAAAATATATTTTACATACATAAATTTGTGAATGAGTCTATAGCTCACCATGAGTTAACCTGATGAGTTGGTGTACCATGTGCAGCAGCCTTCAATAGCTTACAACTTCTACATTTTATTTTTGTTATTGTGCACAAAAACTGTGCACACAACAGTACAGTGTACAACCTTGTACACACAGCAGCGCAAACCATACTTGTAGACGCACAGGCGAAACAAACTAGGTAAATGACAAGAAATTGCAAAACCGTTGAGAGACATTTGGAAGATCTTGCCAAAATGGCACAGCACTCACTGAACGCCGAGTAGTCGTGTCTGGCTAGGTTAGACCTCCACCACGCCTGCAGTTTCACCACTTCCCTCTCCTGCAGAAAAATCACAATCAACAAAACACAATAATAACATAGAATTAAGTTGCATTTCATCACAAAGATAAGAGAAGATATGTGAGATGAGACTGGTAGAGACGAGCCAAGGTACGTCAGAACAAGCTTCTTCTATTTTTATGCATCAGATTTAATGACTATTATGGCATGGCTTCTAGTGAAATCATCACATTATTACGTTTATCAAGATTTTTCCAAGATCAATGTTATCTATATGCCGTATTTTATTAAGTATATGCAAATACATAATATTGTAATATTATAACAAATCTGGAAGAATGCATATATAAATATATATATAGATATATATATGTATATAAACAGATAATATACAGCATGACAAGATATCAGACACCAAAGACAGACAAGAGAGTAGTAGCATGTGTAGTCAAACAGTTCTTGCATAAATGCAGCCAGCCGCAGACAGTAGTAAAGTGTGTGTAGTCGTTCTACACGTCTTGTATGCATGCAGTCAACCACCGACAGTAAAGTGTATGTAACGTGTATAACATTCAACAGTTCTTGTATGCATGCAGCCAGCCACCGACAGTAAAGCGTATGTAACGTGTATAACATTCAACAGTTCTTGTATGCATGCAGCCAGCCACCGACAGTAGTAAAGCCTATGTAACGTGTATAACATTCAAC